TTTTTTTTTTTTTTGGCACGAGTTGGCTTGGGGTAAAAAAAATAGCGGCCGGGCCCAAACCTTTGACACGTTTTAATTTTTAAGGACGGGTATTTTTTTCTCAGCAAATCGATTTTTTCGAACAGCAAAAGATACTAGCTTTGGCCTTTGGGTACAAACCTGTGCATCATACATAATGAGGCCGGCATAAACTACAGCTAGACCAAAAACTGAGTCTGAAAATCCCCTGCAATTAGAAACATTAGAAACAGTTCTCAATTCACTCACCTAACCACAAGATTTTCTTCTCAAACAAAATTTAACCAAAGGCATAATTTAGTAGTCACCTCTCAAGGGCAAGAGAAGTTGCACATGCAACAGCAGCCTGGGATTTGGAAACAAACAACACACAATTAGATCAGACTTGTCATCAACGTAAAAATACATCCATTCACTCGTTTATTAATTTCGAAAACCTCAATAATCTTTTCAAAATTAAGTTTTGAAGCAATAGACCTATTGATATATCTCAACTACATAACAAACTTTCTTGATACTATCTCATTTGGACGATTCTGCGTTCAATAGTCATACAACTTCTCGACTAAAGTTTCGTACTTTTATGAGGGAAAAAGGCAATACTTTCCGAAAACTACTTACTCAAATAGTTCATCATTTTGTAAATCAATGTTCAAAGTTAAAACATGAATGTTTGCATAAAAAGTATAGGGAGATGCTACGGTCCCGTTACGGAACCGTTCGATCGGGGTTTGTAACCGTTAGATCAACTATTTCCGACGGTTACATGATGATCTAACGGTTACAAATCCCGACGGAATGATCAATTATCCCCGACGGTTACATGATGGTCTAACGGTTACAAATCCCGACGGAATGGTTCCGTAACGGACCGTAGCATTTTCCAATGATTGTAACATTGTTTGCATATGAATATGATCAACTCATAGTATTTCAACAATCATTTTTGCCAATCAGAAACATAAATAAATAAAAAAAAAAATTACAGAAGAATGAGTAGATGGGAACCCTCCAGCCTGAAGAGCACCCTTCAAATCAAATTTCTTGCCGTACAATAAAGTCGAAGTAAAAGGTTTAGATAACTGCCCAATTGCTGCAGATAAACCAGCTGCCACCAAAACCTAAACACACTCGTGTAAATAAAAGGGGGAAAAAAACAACTAAATCAAGCAGGAACGTAAAACCCCATTTGAGAACAAATACTTCAATCCGCCAAAAAGAAAGAAAAAGGATGAAAGAAAAAAATTAGACCTTATTGTGAAAAACTCCGGCGACTTCATCGACGGCGAAACTGTGGCAAGCGAGTTCGGAGACGCAGCGAAAAGGGGCTGCGCAATGTTTGTGAGAGGAAAGCAAATGGGCATTTTTTGGTCGGAAATTACTTACTGTGGTCGGAGATGGGGTCGGAAGAAAATCGGAAATTGTCAGCGACATTGTTTGAATTTGAGCTGCTATTGTTGCGCTCAAGAGAAAAGTTTGCTCCTTTTACATATTCATCACTCAGATTTTCAGTGTTTCTGAAATATCCTTTTTTTTTTTTGGATTTGTCTCGTGGATTTTTATTTTATTTATTTTTTTTAAAACGGAACTATATGCTTAAATTACAAATTAGTCTTTTTATTTTCTTGAATTCATTTTATCCAATTAATCAAAACTAACACAATTTATTTTTTTTTTTTTTCCCCTTATCAATCGCATTGTTTTTGCATTACGGTCCTTCAGGTTTATTGGAGGTGAAAGAATGGCGTCAACCGTGACACTGTAATTTTGACCTATCGGTTTAACGCAATGGCAATTTTAGTCTTAAGATCAATCTTTTTGTACTTTAGTTCTGTAATTTATGAAAATCAACAATTTCAGTTCTCTTTTTGTCTAAAATTTGGAACCTTGGTAGAAAAGTACCATGTATTGTTCATGTTGGCCAAACTAAATGATGTGCCATCTTTCTGAATTGCACTAAATTGCACGGTTCACTTCGACCTTTTGATTTCAGCTTGGTTTTGCTCAGCCCTAGTTGAATTAGAATATTATATATATATATATATATATATATATATATATATATAAACGATCAAAGTTTGAAACACAAAAAAGTAGTATTATTTGAACTCAAAATTTAAAATTAGTATAAATGCAAGGTTCAAACAGATAGAATGTTTGTGAAAATGTCTCACTTCATTTCGATCCTCAATTAAGCATTACGACGCGATTCTGTAGCTCAATCCCTTGCTTGTTCAATTCAGGAAAGGATTGCCAAAGTTGACCTCTTAGCGAAAAGAGAGGAGGAAAAGATAATTATTATACTAAAGACTCTGGCCTGTGATTAAAGAGCTCCAATCAGCTTTGAGATAATGCCTCCAAGAAGTCCACTCTTAGGAATAAGAGAGAAGGAGAGGTGAAGTAGGTCAATCACGATAGACAGGCTAGAAGAAGGCCTCGACCCATTTCGTACTGGAGGCACAAACTCCTTATACCACTTTATAGTGGTAGGAGAACAATGCCTCTCGCAGATGGCACGGCCAATTAGGCTTGATGAGAGTACCTTTCATTAGGTTGAAGGAAGACAACCTTTCATTAGGTTCCGTACAGTCTTATCGACAGGGACAACCGTTCAAAGTGTGCACCAACGAAGGTTACATATATCCACTTACACCCTCTAACCCTAGCACCTAGCCACCCTCTAGAGTTATAGTCCATGAACCTTGGTACTGCAACAAACGACTTGCTCGAATGTTGGAACATCATATAAATATGGGTACTATGCAAGCTACTTAACATCATTCAAAACATAGATAATCAAGAAGGATAAATAACGTAGAACTTCCCCCACCTTTTTGTAGAATGCTCGACTTAGGCTTTGAACTTGACTGGAAATTTGAGGGCTCGACTCCTCGTAAAACTACATTAATTGAGGAATGTCGTAGTGTCTTAACATAGCTCTTCTTATACATATACTAAATTTTTAGAATATACTGATTGTTGTCGATTGCATTTACCGGAAAGTGGGAGTCCGATTGAACGTAAGGAAAGGCCTATTATGTTATTGGTGTGTTGGGGCTTCAGTAAGTTTTGTCATTCGTTTTGATACTCTGAAAGGTTACTCTTTGCATACCCCAAATGCTTTGACGATGAAATCGAGTACTTTCTGCTCTGTTGTTGAGTTGCAAATGTACCAGCAGCACCCGTTTTCTTAATTGTTGAAACGTCTGATTTGAGAATCAGATGGTTTGGTTCTTCATATCGCGAATCTGATATCAATGTGTAATTAAGCAAATAGTCAGTAACTCCCTTAAATTCGTGCAGTGCGTAGTTCTGATTAGCTGATGTTTGTTTCTCTTTACATTTTTTGTGCATATCCACATTGTAGTAATTTAAAATGTTTTTTCTAACAGTGGGTTCTGGTTATCTCCTGTAGATATTCATCTTTAAAATAAAGAATAATGGGATCTGAGCCCAGGGAAAAACAAATTATTGTAACTCAGATTAGTGTTGGGGGGCTGGACAATAATTCCACAGCCGACTTGCTCGTCGATTTTTTCGAAGATGAAATCGGAATGGTTTCGAGGTGCCGGCTGAAGACCTCATCCACTCCCCCGGGTTCTTACCCAAATTTCAAAATTGACACATACAACATACAGGAGAAAGAAGACTATGAGAAAGTCAAACCCCACGCCTTTATCCATTTTATATTAGCAAGCTCGGCTACAAAAGCTAGACAAGGCAGGCTGTGGGGAGCTGTTTTAAGGGGTAAACCCTTAAGGATCAGTTTGGGACCCGAAAACCCGCACCACATGAGCCAGAGGAGACGGACCACAAAACCGTACAAGTTGCCCGACGTTCTCGTCGAGATTGGGGTCATGCGGAGCCGGGAGGAGCTCCTGGTCGGCTGGAGAGGGCCCCACAAGAGCGTCGACTTTCTTGTTGATCGGTTTAATGAGAGGTGCAAGCTCCAGTTCTCAAGGGACACAACTTTCTCAGCCACGAGTGAGGCCAAGCCTGTCGTGATCAGGTGTGACTTTAAGATCGAGTCCATGCCTAGAAAAATCATCGAGATTAAACAGTGTAAAGATTTTTCCTCAATAATAATTCTGCTCCAGCTGGCCTCCGCCCCTTTGGTCTACTACCGAACGACGGATGACGATATTCGGGACCCAGTGCCTTTTGATTTGTTGGATGATGACGACCCATGGATCCGGACGACCGATTTCACGCCCAGTGGGGCCCTCAGCAGATGCAACACTTACCGAATCTCTGTTCGGCCTCGAAACGGGAAGGCTCTCCAAGATGCCTTGGAATATCTTCGGACGCGTAGGGTGCCCATTGTCTACGGAAGCCCGAGGAAGCGCCTTAAGATGTGTGACGAGCCTGATTTTGGGCTGCCCATGTCGGACCAGTTCTTCTGTATCCAATATCGAGAGGGCATATCCTTCAAAACTCTGTTCTTAGTGAATGCCGTCTTACACAAGGGAATCATCACCAGCACTAGATGTCTGAGAAATTTTTCGACCTGCTGAGAGCTTCATCCCAAATTATAAGAGATGCACGGATAATCAGCTCTGCAAGTGGACTCGATTGGTTTATATTGCAACTTGAGTCCTCATTTGGCTGAAATGGAATGCGAAATCTAGAATGTGCAGTTCTTACCCCAGGTAATAGAAGAGATGCTATTCCACTTGATGCCACATTAAGAACAACTTTTCCTTTGGATCGAAGACATGAAGATAAAGCTCTCCACAAGAATGTCTTTCCAGTACCACCATAACCATAAACAAACAATAGACCACCCTCATTACAACACACAGATTTCATTATGGTTTCATATACGGAACGTTGTTAAACAGTCATTATGGACAATAGCTTATCATGTTCAACTGCCATAGCTTTTCGGTCGTAGTTGCGTTCATCAAGCAGCATCCTATTCCAACTAATCTCAAAATCATCAATAGTCGGGTAAGGCATAGAATCAAAATCTTGTAGACTCCTCCCACGTCTTCGCAATGACTTCTCAACTTCGCATAGTGCCAAATTTTTTATCTCGTCTTTGCCAATATTCAACTATGCAATGTAATTATTTTAATAAGTCATATCAAAAGTATTATGTAACGACATTATTTAAACAATGATTTTTTCCTTATTCTTTGTAAATGAATTTATAACTTTATACCTGGAGATTCAATATTTTTCGTCGATTATATAAAATATCATCAGATAGTAGCTCCCAACAAGTTTTCCATACATGTTCTGGTCGAGCCATAGAATCTGAAGATAGTAAAGACGAAAACATGTAACGTAATGACTCAACATATGCCCAATGGCTTGCTCAGTTATCCCGTCAATATACTCCTTATCGTCTTCCAATACGCCCAAAGCATAACATACTTCACGATAAGAATCATACTGGACATTTTCAATTTTTCTATAATCAGCAAAGCAAGTTGCACCCCGAACAAAGTTTAGAAGAATACGGAGGTAATAGGCATCGCCACATCCCGGAGGCACATAGGGAAGTCTACCAATCTTGTTTCTTTGTTTTCTTGGGTACCACTTCTTATCATCTGCCCAAACAAAATGTTGAGGAGCCTCGACATAAGTGAGTTTTCTAGCTTCTAGGTATATCTTATTTGCTTCCATCCACTCCAGAAACATGCTGGTTTTATCCTCATTCTTTTCCACGACGTCATCTGTTGGTTTTGTCCTCATTCTTTTCCACGACATCATCTATTCTTTCATAAACATTGAATAAAATATGATGCTCGCTCAACATGAGGGTACTTATATTGAATCTCATATCCCAACAGTCTCCATGCTACCTCGCAAGATGAAACATAATGACAGTCGTAATACATATTGATCTCATCCACGGCTGCCTTCTCGTCATCGGTCTTGCTTTGGTAAAAAGAAGCAGTCACACGATCATTACCCTTATGTACGTACATATTTAAATAAATATTTTATCGATCTCGACTGATTGAACTATTCAACATTTAAATGGGCTCCGTATTTAAATAACAGGTGACGATTATGCGGCACAACATACCGATTATCTAAGGGAACACCATTTTTTTCGACCGTTCTCCCATTATCTCTTCTTCATCAATGCAAGTACTTTCACCAAATTTTTTCGGGAAGTTTTTAATGCAATGATCATCCACCATACAAGGCAATTTTTTATTCGCAACAGCACACGGCCTTGTTATCATATGATCACGCACAACAGCAAAGTAAAGTGGGTCTGAGTCTTCATTTGGAATTTCAGCCGATATAAATCTACCAATATCCTCTGGGGTCGGATACTTATGTTAGAGTAGGATACCCGGCGTTCCAATCAGATTGGACGTATTCTACTTATAAATACGATCTATTGAAATTATATTAATAAATAGGCATTACTTTATTTTAAGAGTAAGCATTTATCCTATAATTGCACTTAAGAT